AGTCATGTAAAAAGCTTTTCTGTCATACTATTTAACAAAGAATCTATCATTATTTAAAATTGCGCAATCAGAGGTACGCCTTGAGGTCCGCCTCAGCATAATTCCTTGCAATGTGTCGAGAAGGACGCTTCAAACCCGTTTCATGAGTCGTACACCTCAAATATATGAAGGCACGCATTGAGGCGTGCCTCGCTTCACTTTTTCTGGGTGTTCGCCCCAGAATGAAACAAAAATAAATTTGTTTAAAATCTAAACCTAATGTCGAGCAACCTCTATACATCATTTCATTCTTATTCGACTTTGTCTACTATTCGGCTTTGTATGTTATTTGACTTCGTCTATTGCACCACACCATCTTCTTCGCTTTCTTCGACGACTTTCCGTGCTCGATCGAAAGTCATAATAGTTTGACGACTTGCCCTGTTGGATCGAAAGTCTGGAACATTCGACAATGTTCTTCTTGCTGGGTCAAAAGTAATGACACAAGTTTGCTTGCTATAGAGGCCCTTAGAGGGAGCAGTTGTAACACCCCACAGTACCCCTTAACAATACTGGTGTATTACTAACATAAATATAATATATCAATTAATCATAAGATCTAACAGTTTTCATTCATCACACCAACAGAAGTATCTAATTTATTTAAACTTCAATAAGATATACTTACAGAGCCACTAAAGAAAAACTAAATAATACATTACTGCAATATTTTCATACCTCAATGTAGACTTCACAACAAAGATAATACTAACATAAAATAAGAAATAACTTGCAAATTAATCTGTAACAATCTTCTCCTTTCCCTTTTCTGTAACAATAGTCAGTAAGAAAGATAATGTTGAGTTATGAGGCTCAATAAGCTTTACAAATTAATTAACAGTTAAAATACAATAATTGTAATAAATCAAACATTAAAATCATAATATTGACCAAACTTAACCTAACTTGTAAAACATCATAAAATTGTCATTAACATTAGTTTTTATTTCTTTTGAAGTTTGTATTGAATACCAATCTCAATCTGTAATAGCTTTGGCTACACTTTCATAAACATATTCAATGGAGCTCATGTAAACCTGACATTATCGCCATTGAATTACATAGAAGTCCATTTTGTCACTTTAGGGGTCCCTTTTGTCCAACCTGTTGTGCATGTATCATATTCTTTGGGGTCCCTTTTGCCCCTCCTGTAATACAAAAATATATTATTTGGGGTCCCTTTTGTCCCACCTGTAATTATAGTTATACATCATTTATTGTCAAACTTTACTTTTAAGTTGTTATTCACTAAACATTCCAGTGTTCGTAAGTTGTACTTAAGTTGTTGCATGCTTTCATAATGATTTTTGTTATCATCGGTGTACAATTAAAATGCCTATCATATGCAAGGAAATTGATATCTTTTCAATACAGTATCAAATAGGAAAACATTTAGATTAACATACTAAATCTTATTTTACATTTTCCTGATTAAATTATGTATCTAGTTTTCATACTTGAAAACTTGAATTAAAAAACCTTTCTATATATTAAACAAATTTAATAACCTTTTACTTTAATGCTTTCAAAATCAACCTTCATGCCTATAAATAAAAGTTATTATATTTGAATATAAATGCATTACTTACCTTCTTGAAGATTTGTCTCTTCAATTCCTTCACCATGTACTCTTCTTCGATTGTAAGTAACCTCATAACCTTTCCTTTGCATAGATCCAAGGAATCTTCCTTTAAATTTTCCCTCTTAATCTTCCTTCACTATTTCTTCTATTAGTTTGCATACTTTCATCAAACTACAATTCATATAATCTAATAAATAAGGGCCTTTTCTAATATTTTTTAACCATGTTATTTTAGGTCTACCTCTACCTTTAACATAAGCCAAATCTTATACATCTACTCTCATATCCGGGTTATCAGAAGTTGACGTTTTATGTGACCAAACCATCTAAGGCGACGCTCTCTAATCTTATCTTCCACTCGAGGTACTCTAATGTAGGCAAAGGAGGGGTCAACTCAAACCCCAAATAAGTTTAATTTGACTTCCCTTGAGCTTACAAGCTCAATCAATTCGAGCTTGAATTTAGCTCATTTATGAGCTGATTTTTAGTTTATTTATTGAACTACAGATTAGCTCATTATTAGCTAACATTTTAGTTCATAATTATCTTTTTATTAAATGTACTTTTTATTGTTTTTATGTCTTTAATTATGTTTGTCTCTTGGAATTCCAAACCGGCCTTTGGAATTCCAAGAAGTGTTGTTTCCCATGTGTGGCTCCTTGGCTTCCACCATGGGCTTTAGTTTTTTTCTGTGCCTTTTCCACTTGGAATTCCGGCCGGCTGCTGGTTTTTCGAGCCTGGGATGTTTTCCGTTGTTGTGGCTCCTTGGTTCCGTGCTGCCTCCTTGGCTCCCGCGGTTGCCCCTTCGGTTCTTGGGCTTGGGATGTTTTTCCGTGAAAAGCAAGCGCTTTTATTGGCTTGTGATGTTTGGGATTCCTATGGGAATTAAATGTTGTGTCTGTTTGTATTCCCCCTTTCATACTTATAAAAATGAGGGGTTTGTTATGCTTTAAAAATAGTGAATGATATGTGATTTTTGGAAATGTAAACCTGCGGGTTTCATGGAAAAGCTTGCGAGCTTTGTCCGTCTTCTTTCTCATCCCCTCCGAAAATCTTGCGAGCTCTTTACAACTTTTCGTCTCGGCTTCTAATCTCTTCGTCTCTCCGTAAGTGCCACTCCACCTGTATCTTTCTTCCAAGTGCAGCAACTTTAGGGTGTCGTCTTTAATTTTAAGTTTGCAAGTTGTCGTCATTTGTAATTTTTAATTTCTTTTGTCTTTAAATTAAAATTTAAGAGTTTGCTCATCGTCATAGAATTATCGTCTATTTTAGTGTGTTAGCGGGTGTTCGGGTGCTCATCTCTTTTGTGTGTGCTAGGGGCCCCACCAATTTGGTATCAGAGCAAGTTAGGAAGTCCTAGGTTGTAAGTCTTGTTTTAGTTTGTCAAGTTTTGTTTTGTCGAGTCAAATCTTGTTGTGAGTCTAAGTTTAGATTGAGTTTTTTGAGTCTTTTTTGAGTCAGTTTAAAAAAATGGAAAACAAAAAAAATATGGATTCATATAACGAGGAAATCAATTCAAATAATCTTGACGTCCCACTCCCGTTGGACAGATGGATTCCTACAGAAGGCGATTCTACTGATCCGCTTCAAGACCGTCTATACAAGCTTCAGTATCACATGTTCCTATGTGATCAAAAATTCGAGAAGTGGAAGAGATTTCTGCAAAGGCAATTCGAGAAGGAACAGGAAGAAATTTTAAAGAAATTTGGTGAGAAAATCAAAGAGCTGGATGATCAGTATGCACCTCCTCAAGAGAACCCAAAGCTAACTCATCGGGAGATGAGTTCTCAAGAAGGGGAGTCTGATGTAGGCAAAGGGGGGGTCAACTCAAACTCAAAATAAGTTGGATTTGACTTCCCTTGAGCTTACAAGCTCAATCAATTTGAGCTTGAATTTAGCTCATTTATGAGCTGATTTTTTGTTCATTTATTGAACTATGGGTTAGCTCATTATTAGCTAACATTTTAGTTCATAATTATCTTTTTATTAAATGTACATTTTATTGTTTTTATGTCTTTAATTATGTTTGTCTCTTGGAATTCCAAACCGGCTTTTGGAATTCCAAGAAGTGTTGTTTCCCATGTGTGTCTCCTTGGCTTCCACCATGGGCTTTAGTTTTTTTTGTGTGCCTTTGCCCCTTGGAATTCTAGCCGGCTGCTAGTTTTCCAAGCCTGGGATGTTTCCCGTGGCTGTGGCTCCTTGGTTCCGTGCTTCCTCCTTGGTTCCCGCGGTTGCTCCTTCGGTTCTTGGGCTTGGGATGTTTTTCCGTGAAAAGAAAGGGCTTTTATTGGCTTGTGATGTTTGGGATTCTTATGGGAATTAAATGTTGTGTCTGTTTGTATTCCCCCTTTCATACTTATAAATATGAGGGGTTTGTTATGTTTTAAAAATAGTGAATGATATGTGATTTTTGGAAATGTAAACCTGCAGGTTTCATGGAAAAGCTTGCGAGCTTTGTCCGACTTCTTTCTCATCCCCTCTGAAAATCTTGCGAGCTCTTTCCAACCTTTCGTCTCGGCTTCTAATCTCTTCGTCTCTCCGCAAGTGCCACTCCACCTGTATTTTTCTTCCAAGTGCAGCAACTTTAGGGTGTCGTCTTTAATTTTAAGTTTGCAAGTCGTCGTTGTTTGTAATTTTTAATTTCTTTTCTTTCTTTAAATTGAAATGTAAGAGTTTGCTTGTCGTCATAGAATTATCGTCTAGTTTAGTGTGTAAGCGTGTGTTCGGGTGCTCATCTCTTTTGTGTGGGCGAGGGTATAGGCTCCTTATATTTCTTGCCCCCACCATTCTCCAACCTTTTCACGATATGATCGTTTCATATTTTGTCTCTAAGAGTAAAGCCACACATCCTCCCGAGTATCCTCATATCTGCACCACTTAATTTTATGCTTTTCTATTAATGGCTAACATTCTGCACCATAAAGCATTGCAGGTCTCACTACCATCATAGAGAATTTTCTCTCAAGTTTGAGGGATACTTTTATATCACACAACATGCTTGATGCATTCATCCACTTCAACCATTCAACTTGAATTCTACTAATAATTTCCTCATCTATTTTACCATCACTTTGAACAGTAGATTCGAGATATTAAAACGTGTACTCATATTTATATCTTGATCGCCCAAAGTCACAATCTCCCCACTAGATTTATTACTACTAAAAATAATAATGTAATTGTTAGCAATGAAACATAAAAATATTACTATATCTTTTGGGCTGGCTGCTTGTTCTAGAAGAATAAGCGACTGTGGTAGGGCTGATCATATAATTTTCCATCTTGCAGAATATTTCTTTTGTGAGAATCGCTGACTAAAATCTAAAACTTTTTCTTGTGATATTATCTGTTGTGGGCTTATGTTGCATTGTTTTATCAGATTTTGTGCCCATGAGTTTGAAAGATTGAAAGAAATGGTTGCTGCTTCTTTAGCATACAAGTGTGCGGAAGTGGCATTTTTGAAGGTTGCATATTACAAACATCCCAGTGCTAGCAAAGATCGGCTTGAGCTGCAAGTTGCACTTGATGCACCAATGCCTGGTACTGAAAACATTCTAAGTCAAAATGATGTTAATTGAGTAATTATTTAATCATCAGCCTTTTTAGGTTTCTGTGGGTCTTATCTTGCATCATCTTATGAGCGAATATATTTGTATATTTTGTTAGCTATTAATATATGCGCCTTATGGAAGTTGAGAATTAATTTACATGATTTTTTTGTAACTAAAAGAAATGGCATTCCCAACCTAGTGGGATAAAGGCTTGATATTGTCGTTGTTGTTGCAAAAGAAGAGGCATTGGAAGTTTACAGAAAATAATCCCTTAGGGAGCCTGCTTTTTGCTTATGCAGTTTAGTACTACTTGGAGCACTCTGTAAATGATATTCAATAGATTGACTTTTATGCCATGATCATCATTGTTATTGTCATTTTCACGATCATAATCATGATCTTCGGAAGCTTATTCGTACTTAGTTTTGAGTTTACGGAGCTTCCTTCTCTATTCTTACTATTAAGATTTTGTTTGGGATGACTTTTTAATTACTTTTTAAATCAGTCTTAGTTGTACTAAAACTTTGTTTTAAAGAAGCAATAAAAAATTTGTCCCAAATGAAGCCTAAGTGCTACATTTATAAATCTTGTTCAGCTGGAGATCTTTTGTTCCTCAAACCATACTTGCTTTGACGTACTCCGACATATTTGTGGAATGTATATACCTATTGCATCCTCTTATCCTTCGTCATTGATTATAACCAAATGTATGAATAGGAGACCAATTTCATGAATGTGGATACACTCTTTTGCTCCGGCATCTGTTAAAAGTTTTATCTATTGATTTATAGGTAATCACACTTGTTAATTTGAGCTTCCTGTAAAGCTTTTTGTCAGCTTTTGTTAAGTGATGCCACTCTTCGGTGTACAGTGTTACTCTTGAATCATTAGTGGGCATTGCATAAGCATTGATGCATTTTATTTGTTCCATATTCTGTCCCTCTTTAAAGGCGTTTCTATTAATTTTATTTGGAAATATGTTCTTCATTTTATAATATTAATTATAAGAGGGTTTATTACTTATGCCAATTATAAAGGTTAATTAGCCAAGGCACTAAATTGTACCCACCACGTCTGACTTTGTTATGCTGTTATAACTTTGTTTTACATACACATCTCAGATAGTCAAGATCAATCTTCAATATTCCTGCCACAATTATATGATGCCCGCAATAATAATTGGGCATGCTATGCTGATCTGGATCCCTCTATGACTTGAGTATGATGTTGACAGGATTCAGATCACTTGATCATTTATCATTCAAGAGGTATCAATTGAAAAAAAATATATATAAAAATTGTAGCATGCTAGCTTACTTTATAATGCTTGTGCATCCTTTTAGAAAAGAAGAAAAGTTGAGAAATAAGTAATTTCTAGGATTTAAAAAAAAAAAAAAAGTGATTTCTAGGATTCAATTTCTTGCTCATTTATCTTTTTAGGGTTTAACTGAAAAATAAAATAAAACTTCTAATATGTATGCTCATGTTCATCTCATTCGTCTCTTCATTAGTTTAATGGATGAAAATTAATATATAAATAACAAATTTCTTTTCAATATAATGTTCATGTTATATGGCGGTTCCACTAGAACCACCTATTGAGGTGGTTTCTTCTGAACCGCCTCAGCCGGACCCTCCTAGGCCGGCAATTGTTTACAAAAGGAGGCTCAAAACAACCTCCTCCCTTGCCTCCTCCCTTGCCTAAACTAGCTTGCCGCCTATGGGTGAGGTCAAAAGGATTTGAATTTATTTGAAAATTATTTTTAGGAAAGGGTTTAGGCGGTGGAAAGTCTTTAAATAAGAGAGGTAGGGGGAAGGGAGAGGCATGCTTAGATTTGAGTTTCTCTTGGAGTCTTTTGAGGTTTGAGGGCTCTAGACTTTGCGTCTAGAGATTGGGAGAGAACAATCCTCCTCTCGAATAGAGGATCACTTGTATCTTGCTTTTTATGTGTTTTGCTTTGTTTCCTTTATTGCAATATACTATTTTTGGGGCTGTTTTCAGCCATATTTTGCTTTTTTTTCTCGCTGTTTTCCTCCAATTAGTGATAGGTTTGCTTGCGAACTCAAGTATTCCCTTAGGGTTACTTGCGAACTCAAGTATTTCCTATCAAATTGGTATCAGAGCAAGTCTCAGGACCGGTGGAGAGCTGACTTCAACTGATTCCAGCATCAATTTTTTTTGCTCCAAATCGGAAGAAGTTGCTGTTTTTCTTTTCCAAATCCTTTTTTTGGTAAATCTACAATCTTCAGATTGTGATGGAGGCCAAAAAAGTGGATGCCTTGGAGGAAAGACTCGAAGGAGAGATGAATCAAATCAAAATGACAGTGGAGGAAAGGATCTCTTCAATGGAAGGTCAAGTCGCTGATCTTCGAGAGATGATGAGAAAAATGCTAGAAATTCAAAACCAAATGACGGCTTTAGTGGCAAAAAGGAAGGAGGGAAAAGGTACAAATTCCGGAATTCGTAGGGAGGAAGATGAGGTGGAGATCATGGAATGAGAGGGAAGAAAACCCCATCGGGAGTCTGTCCAGAGAGGAGAAAGAGGAGGCGGATATGGGGAACGCCAGGAGGGGTACTATGACCACCGAGGCACTGATTTTGAAGAAAGAATGGGGGATTTTGTAGGGGTTTTGGGCTATGGCAGCGCAAGAGAAGACCACGAAACTTGGCTTGCACCTATCACTTGGGAGAGGGGAAACTATGGAAGAATCCGGGGCAATGGGGGGATCAATAGGTGAGGAAGTTGAAGATGCCCATATTCGAAGGAGAAGATGCGTATGAGTTGATTTATAAGGTAGAGCGATACTTCGCCGTCAATGGGCTGACGGAGGAGGAGAAGCTGACTGCAGCCGGATTATGCTTGGAAGGGAAAGCCCTGTCATGGTTTCAGTGGAGAGACCAGAGGAGGCTGATCAGGAACTGGAGGGAATTTAAAGGCCGCATAATAGAGCATTTCCAAACCGATCGGGGAGGAGACTTCTATGAGCAGTTCTTTGCTCTAACGCAGGAGGGATTAGTAGCAGATTACCGAGAGCAGTTTGAGCACCTAGCTAGCAAGGTGGAGCGACTCTGAGATACAGTGTTGGAGGAAAATTTCATGAAAGGGCTGAAGGCGGAGATCCGAGCAACAGTGAAGGTCTTGATTCCCCGTGACTTGGGAGAAGTCATGAGGTTAGCCAACTAGTGGAAATCAGAAAAATTTGGAGAAGGGAACCAGGAATAGCAGCATCGGGGGCACATATAGAATGACGACCACTCATCTCGCACATAAAGGTCTTGCAACAGGAGGTAGTAAAGAGGCCACCAAGGAGAAAACGGGGGGAGGGAATTTCAAGCGGCTGACAGAGAAAGAAATGTAGGAGAAGAGGGCTAAGGGCTATGTTGCACCGATACACCTATTTATGAAGGCGTGCTGTATCTGATACACTGATACACGGATACGCTTCCGATACGTGTCGGATACACCAAAGCCTATCCAATTAAAATACTATTTTATTTCAAGAGGACACGCATATCCGATACGCGTGTTCGCTGAAAAACAAAAAGAAATCCAAAAAAAGACGTATCATAGGTACTTCCGGGGTTGCGAGCAAGGTTCTCTCATTTTCGAGAGGGATTTGAGTCTCTTGATGATATGAGAATATTAGAAATTACTAATCTTTCACTTGATGAGCCTGAATTAGAAGCTATGATATTTATTGAAGATGATATAAAAGTTCAAAGACAAACCAATGAAGAAGCCAATCATATTATTCCTTCTATTGAATAGTTGAAACTTCATGTGCTAGATAATTTATGTTTATGCTTTTGTTGTTGTACTAGACATTTAATGCTTTCTTATATTTTAATATTATAAGCTACACGGCTACAAATGATGTTGTTTCTTTTTTTTGTAATTTCAAATATTATGCTTTGATTGTTTTCTTAATTTTTATGTATGATTTATAAATTATAATGCCAAGTCCGCGCCGTACTCGTATCCTATATTTTTAAGAATTGACGTGTCCTGTATCCGTATCGTGTTGTATCCGTGTCGTCGTATCCGTATCGGTGCAACATAGGTTAAGGGGTTGTGTTTCCGATGCGATGAAAAGTACACACCAGGATATCGGTGCAAGGACCGAACTCTTCAGGTTCTCATCGTCTGCGATGACAAGGAAGGTGAGGAGGAGACAGAGGAAGAGGAGCTACACTTGGATCTGGCTGAGGTTTCCCTAAACTCAGTGATAGGTTTAACTACGAATCACACCATGAAAGTGAAGGGAGGCATAAAGGACAGGGAGGTTGTGGTGCTAATTGATAGTGGGGCTACCCACAATTTCATTTTCACCGAGGTCGTAGACCAATTGGGAATAAGATTGATGGACACAGGTTGTTACGGAGTGATGATGAGTACGAGGAAGATAGATGGGTATAACTCCATAGCATGGCCACTCACTGAACAGTTGAAGAAGGATTGGTTATTGTGGGGGGAGGCAGCCACATCAGCATTTGAGAGCTTGAAGAAGGCAATGACTACGGTGCCGGTCTTAGCCTTGCTAGATTTCACTCATACCTTCATTGTGGAGACAGATGCTTCAGGATACAAGCTGGGTGCAGTACTAATGCAGAGTCGTAAACCCATTGCCTATTTCAGCAAGGTATTAACTGCTAGAGCCCGACTGAAATCCGTTTACGAGAGGGAATTAATGGCCATCATCTTGGCCATCCAGAAGTGGCGGCTCTACCTGCTTGGGAGACATTTCATTGTCAGGATAGAACAACGAAGCCTGAAATACCTATTGGAATAGCGGATGGTGACGGAAGAGCATCAAAGGTGGTTGTCCAAGTTGCTAGGGTACGATTTTGAGATTCTGTATAGACCAGGGGTGGAGAACAAGGCGGCGGACGCGTTGTCCAGATGTATGGGGGAGCTGCAGACAATGGCATTATCCGTTCCTTTGATGCTTGACTGGGAGGCTATCAGGGAAGAAAGTGCTAGAGATGAA